TTTTGTTTATAGTCCTGCTTTTCCCTACATGATTAAAAAAAGAAAAAACCAACTGCACATAACTAAACTTACTGGATCATTCCACAATAAATACAAACATCTCACCATTACGTTGTACACCTGAAACTAACATAACGTTATATGGCAAATATAGCTCCATTTTTTAAAAACCACTTAAAACAGTAATTATAAATCTACACTGATGAGCACACAATGTATAAAGATATAATTTGTGACAAAAACCTCGTAAGGGGGCGGGGGGGTGTGGAACTATATAGCTGCAAATTTTTTGCAGAGTAAGTACCTATTAACAGAAAAGGTGGTAATGGAGAAATTGAAATACAAACACAAAAGATACAATACACACAAAACAAATAATTAGACAAGAAGCATTATATATAGAGAAAAGGATCCATCCATCAAGAAGGTATACCAATAACAATTACAAAGATATAAGCACCTAACAACAGAACCCAAACACATGAGGCAAAAACTGACAGAAGCTTGGTTAAATTGGTGAATTTTATACTTTGTGAATTTTTATCTGATTTTTAAAGAAGGAAAATAAGAACGTCAGTTAAATGAAAAGTTTACCAGTAGAGATGGTGAGAGGACAGAGCGGCAGCGTGAGGATGGGGCCTGAAATTTAGGGGAGGTGGGTCGCTCCTCCTGAAACCTCCTGCTCTGCTCCAGGGCCTGACACGCCTGGCGCCACCTCACCTCCCTGCCTGCAGGACACAGGCCCACGGGCACCTGCAGGCCTTGCTCCCGCCTGTTCTCGGCCCAGCGTGGAGCCCCTGTACCTTCTATACCTTACCTGACAACTCATCCCTCAATATCCAGCTCCCGAGGGCCCTCCTCCAGCCCCCACCTCCTCCCCGGGTGGGGTGTCTGCGGCCAGGGCCCCCCCACCCCGCAGCACCCACCTGGACTCGGTGACGTCAGCAGGCCTTCCCCTGCACACCGCCACCTGCACGTACACGGAGCAGTTGACGCGGCTCCAGTCAGGGTCACACACGGCCAGGAAGTTGGGCCGCAGCCGGCCGGTCATGTACTTGGCCAGGTCTGTCAGCGACTGGCTCACTGCAGCCCCGAACAGGAACGCCCCCAACACCTTGTAGAGGGCGGCCAGGTAGTTGTTGAAGTCAGAGCGGGAGTAGAGGCGATCTGTGTACACCAGGTAGGCCTCCCCGGCCGACACCTGCGGGGAACAGCCGGGGACTTCAGGGCCGCTGAAGAAAGGGGTCAGGGTGCGTGGCCTCCCTACGGTCACTGGGGGGCTGGGAACTCCAAGGGGGCCCTCTTCCCCGCAGACACCACCCCGGGCAGGACTCGAGCTGCTAACGCCCCAGCCCTCCGCCCTCCACGCCCCTCCTGCCTTACAAGGATGACGGTGGCGGTGATGATGACCCCGGCCATGAGCCCGTGGGTGATGGTGTCCGGACGGTAGGGGTACCGGATGGAGTCATCTCCGCAGTAGAATCCTCGCTTGTACGGGGCGTTCACGAGTGTCAGGATGGCGGAAGGCAGAGAGGCTGGGGTTGGGGAGAGGAGGCCGGTAGCCACGAGGTTCTCTGAGCCCCAGGGCCACACAGACGAGCCTGCGCCGGCACCGAGCACTTGGACGCCGGCCTCAGCCTCCCTCCGGGTCTTCTCACCTCTGAGCCCACCAGAGAGCTAGGAGGAGCTTTTCTCACAGCAAATGGGAAGGCCACTGCCCCCTTAAAGCCCCTGCGGTTCCCCGTCATCATCAGATAAACACCAACGTCCTGCCCAGGCCCAGTGTCCAACCCCCAGCGTCGCCCACCCTCTCCCCGCCTCGCTTCCCTCCAGCCTCCTCTCTGCCCTTTGCACGAAGCCGGCAGGCAGCCACCAGGGCCTCTGCTCACATCCTTCTCGTGGCCCAGAACATCTCGAACTCCCTTCCGTGCTCCTGGGAGCCCTCTCACGGCAGGAAACTTCCGTTCTTCATGGTTCTTGCCTGTGTGCAACTGTGCAATCACCGTGTGATACTCGAATGATTCCCCCGGCTACACACAGCGCTCTGTGAGCACCTGGGGTGGGGGTGGGGGTGGGGGTGGGGGCCGCGCCTGTCATGGTCAAGGCTGAGTCCCTGGAGCCTGCTGGGGCCTGGCCGAGGCCAGTGTTTAACAGGCATCTGTTAAAAGAAGGACACTCTGCTCCTCGTTCTAGGGCCGGCCAGAGAGATCAGGAACACACCTCATCCACGCGTTGTCCCTGAACCGGCCACACGGTGACCCGACAGGTCCGGCCCAGGCCCCGGGAGCTCAATCCAAAGGTGCTTTCAGGAGCCACAAGTCATGACCCGGCCCTGCCTGGCACGGCCGCAGCCCCGGAGTCCAGAGGCCCCGCCAGCCAAGGGTGACCAAGGGCGGCTAGGGCACAGGGCTCCCTGCTCCCCAGGGTGGGTGCACAGAGACAAACCCAGGCAGGGTGCCCTTTGGCCTTGGCAGGGCAGATGACACGTGGAAGAGGGTGTGGCTCTGCTGGGGCCTGACGACCAGAGCAGTGGGAGGGCAGGGCCAACTCCTCCTTCCAAAGGCCAAATTCAAGGGCCTCGGGGACCACCGTGTGATGGT